GAGGTGTGCCCACGTCGGCACGCTAACGCTACCATGCTAACGCTACCACGCTAACGCTACCATGCTAACGCTACCATGCTAACGCTACCATGCTAACGCTACCACGCTAACGCTACCATGCTAACGCTCACGCTACCAGGACGTCTCCACAGATAGGGGAGTAAGATGAGGGGGGGGGCAACATGCAGGTGAAAGGCTGGAATATTATAATGAGCTAGAGCTAATGACATCAGAAACTACCCACTCCTGAAACCTCCTGATTTATCTCCTGGATTCAGACTGAAAAATGATGCCTTGTTTTCCGATTTCTACATTTATTTAGCGTGTTTCGTGTCTGGTTTGATTCCCAGAACAGAAACAAGACGATTCTCTTGTGGGTTTTCCATCTTTAATCCGTCCTCCTTTGATCCTTGGTTCGGACCCAGTGGTTTTAGGAAGAAACCACTCAGGTCCTGGATGGAATATTACGTTTATTATTATTTTATTTATTTATTTTTTTTAATAGGGACAAAGCACATTAATGAACATCAGTCAAAAACAAATGTAAATATGCCGGATTGTAGCTACAAAGCTAATTTTCATCCGTAATCCCTAATTAGTCCTTATTTAGCGTCTTTCTGGTTTGATTCCCAGAACAGAAACAGGAGGAAATCTGTTTTTAGGAACCATCCCTTTGTCGATTTTCCATCTTTAATCCGTCCTCCTTCGATCCTTCGTTTGGAACGAGTGGTTTTAGGAGGAAACCACTCAGGTCCTGGATGGAATATTACGTTTATTATTATTATTATTTATTATTTTTTTAATAGGGACAAAGCACACTAATGAACATCAGTCAAAAACAAATGTAAATATGCCGGATTGTAGCTACAAAGCCAATTTTTCATCCGTAATCCCTAATTAGTCCCTATTTAGCGTCTTTCTGGTTTGATTCCCAGAACAGAAACAGGTTGATATCTGTTTTTAGGAACCATCCCTTTGTCGATTTTCCATCTTTAATCCGTCCTCCTTTGATCCTTGGTTCGGACCGAGTGGTTTTAGGAGGAAACCACTCAGGTCCTGGATGGAATATTACGTTTATTATTATTTATTTTTATTTATTTTTTTAATTGGGACAAAGCACATTAATGAACATCAGTCAAAAACAAATGTAAATATTTTATCATGATAAAATGATAAAATCTTACGATCTTATGTAGATCAATGTATGTACTATGTACTTGAATCTGAATTTGAAGAAATCCTGGTAGGTTGTAAGGTAAAAAAAATAGGGTAGGCAAGAATAAGCTTTGCTTCGGCCTATTCCTTTTTTGGTAAACTGTGGGTTTGTCTATTGTTTTTTTTCTTTTTTTCCTTTTGTTGTTTCTTGTGTTTAATGTGGCCAGTTTACCAAAATAAAGTGATTGATTGATTGATTGATTGTAGCTACAAAGCTAATTTTCATCCGTAATTAGTCCCTATTTAGCGTCTTTCTGGTTTGATTCCCAGAACAGAAACAGGAGGAAATCTGTTTTTAGGAACCATCCCTTTGTCAATTTTCCATCTTTGATCCGTAGTCCTTTGATCCTTCGTTCGGACCGAGTGGTTTTAGGAGGAAACCCTCGGGTCCTGGATGGATTTCCTGGGTTCTGGTGGTCTCTCTGACCCGGTTCCTCCCCCCAGGGCTCGGCCGACTCCTACACCAGCCGGCCCTCGGACTCGGACGTGTCTCTGGAGGAGGAGAAGGAGAAGGAGGGCGGCCAGCAGGAGCGGGAGCAGCAGGCCGCCGCCCAGCTGGAGAGGGCAAAGGTCAGACCTCACATCCTTCATTTGCATGATCTATATTTTTAAACATCGTTCATTTGTACATTCGGATCTATATTTTTAAAGCTTGTTCATTTGTACATTCGGATCTATATTTTTAAAGATTGTTCATTTGCATGATCTATATTTTTAACGATTGTTCATTTGCACATTCGGATCTATATTTTTAAAGATTGTTCATTTGTACATTCAGATTTAAAGATTGTTCATTTGTACATTCAGGTCTATATTTTTAAAGATTGTTAATTTGCACATTCGGATCTATATTTTTAAAGATTGTTCATTTGCACATTTGGATCTTTATTTTTAAGGATTGTTAATTTGTACATTCGGATCTATATTTTTAAAGATTGTTCATTTGCACATTCGGATCTATATTTTAAAGATTGTTCATTTGTACATTCAGATCTATATTTTTAAAGATTGTTCATTTGTACATTCAGATCTATATTTTTAAAGCTTGTTCATTTGCACATTCGGATCTATATTTTTAAAGATTGTTCATTTGTACATTCAGATTTAAAGCTTGTTCATTTGTACATTCAGATCTATATTTTGAAAACTTGTTCATTTGTACATTCAGATCTATATTTTTAAAGCTTGTTCATTTGCACATTCGGATCTATATTTTTAAAGATTGTTCATTTGCACATTCGGATCTATATTTTAAAGATTGTATTTTTCAGTTTTATCATTTCTGTCCTATATTTTTATTTCTACATTTTATTTCTTGCTTCTCATAGAAGTGTTGTGTTGTGCACCTAACACCAAGGCAAATTCCTTGTAAGTCTAAAAACCTACTTGGCAATAAACCTTATTCTGATTCTGATTCTGATTCTCTGGACAAGGACTCAGAGCCTCTTATGGGAGATTTACGGGAGTTTATTTATGAGGGGGTAGATTTTCCCTCTAAAAACCACTTTTCAGACACTTTCCACTAATTAATGCCACATCTGAGGGGAAATAGACTTACAAGTTAATAAGATTTATGATCTATCTATCTATCTATCTATCTATCTATCTATCTATCTATCTATCTATCTATCTATCTATCTATCTATCTATCTATCTATCTATCTATCTATCTATCTATCTATCTATCTAT